GTGTTCTAGCTGGTCGTCAGCTTTGCCTGACTCATATCTGAGCTCTGGCTCCCTGGACATGGTCTAAAGCAGAGCTGTGCCTCATTCCTCTGCCTTGCAGCTGTCCCTCTTTCTCTGCCTTACACTTGTGTCATTTAGAGGCCAGAACCTTAGAGGGTTTTCGTGCACACTTTAGTGCTCCCTTGTTCTGAAACCCTCCTTTCTAGGTATCTTCTTCCCTTTCTTTCCACCCTGGTGGCCCTGGACTCTGTGGTTTTACTTCTGAAACTGGGCATCCCCAGGTTTCTGATTGAGGGCTGGCTGCCTGGTGCTGTGTAGCCCTGCCTAAACTTCAATATATTTGCCCTGTTTATCTAAAAAAAATTTTTTTTTTTTTTTTTTTTTTTTTTGGGACAGGGTACTGCTGTGTCACACAGGCCGCAGTGCAGTGGCTGGCACCATCACAACCCTGCAGCCCTTGACGGCCCCAGGCTCAAGTGATTCTCTTGCCTCAGCCTTCCAGGTAGCTGAGACTATAGGCATGTGCCACCATGCCTGTCTAATGTTTTTTTTTTTCCTGTTGTTGTTTTTTAATGAAGTGATGGGATCTTTTTGTGTTGCCCAAGCTGGTTTTGAACTCCTGGGCTCAAGCAGTCTTCCCATATTGGCCTCCTGAAGTGCTGGGATTACAGGCATGAGCCACCCCTCTTCTTTCAAGGGGGCACTTCTCTTTTTCTGCCTGCCTTTGGCTGCTTTCCATTCCCCTTAAATGGTTCTTATATTTTGTTCAGAATCTGTGATTCTTACTAGTGGGACGGTTAGTCCAATGCAAGTTATACTGCCATTGCTGCAGCTATTTTTTTCTGGAATAAGTATTTAAGGCTGTGTGTGTGTGTGTGTGTGTGTGTGTATGTATTTCACTAGCATCACAAGTTTTATTTTTGTATATTCATTCTTGTTCAGTTGCCCAATTTTCCTCATAATTTCTTTGACTTATAGAAGTGTACTTTTAATTTTCTTTTTTCGTTTTTTTTTTTTTTTTTTTTTTTTTTGAGACAGAGTCTCCCTCTGTCACCCAGGCTGGAGTGCAGTGGCGCGATCTCAGCTCACTGCAAACTCCGCTTCCCGGGTTTACGCCATTCTCCTGCCTCAGCCTCCCGAGTAGCTGGGACGACAGGCGCCCGCCACCGCACCGGGCTAATTTTTTGTATTTTTAGTAGAGACGGGGTTTCACCGTGTTGGCCCGGATCGTCTTGATCTCCTGACCTCATGATCCGCCCACCTCAGCCTCCCAAAGTGCTGGGATTACAGGCGTGAGCCATCGCGCCTGGCCACTTTTCTTTCTTTTAAAATTATTATTATTTTTAATTATTATTTTTGAGATAGGGTCTTGCTCTGTCACCCAGGCTGGAGTGTAGTAGCACTATCACAGCTCACTGCAGCCTTGACCTCCTGGGCTCAAGCGATCCTCCCACCGCATCTGCTCCAGTAGCTGGGACCACAGGGGTGTGCCATCATGCCCAGCTGTTTTTATATTTTTTGCAGAGACGGGGTCTTGCCATGTTGCCCAGGCTGGCCTCCAACTCTTGAACTCAAGCCATCTGCCCACCTCAGCCTCTGAAAGTGTTGTGATTGTAAGTGTGAGTCACTGCACTTAGTCTATTTTCTTTTCTGTTAATGTAGCTACCTCAGCCTTCTCTTTCTGCTTTTTTCATTAGTATTTGATATATCTTTTCCCATTATTTTACTTTCAACTTTCCACAAACTTTTTTTTTAGAGTCTCACTCCGTTGCCCAGGCTGGAATGCACTGGTGCAATCTCGCTTCATTACAACCTCCGCCTCCTGCGTTCAAGAGATTCTCCTGCCTCAGCCTCCCTAGTAGTTGGGACTACAGGTGCACATCACCACATCTGGCTATTTTTTTCATATTTTAAGTAGAGACAGGGTTTTGCCACGTTGGCCAGGGTGGTCTTGAACTCCTGGCCTCAAGTAATCTGCCTGCCCTGGCCTCCCAAAGTGCTAGAATTACAGGTGTGAGCCACCACTCCTGGCCCCTTTCTGGAGACTTTTGTTTCAGGTGTGTTTCTTTGAAACAGTCCATGGTTGCATTTTGTTTTTCCTTTAACAATCTATAATCTATGCCTTTTAATAGGAATATCCTGTTCATTAACATTTGTGATTAATGAAGTAATTGGATTTATTTATTCTGTCATATTTTGTTTTTCTTTTTATTATGATTTTTCCATTATCTTTCCCTCCCTACTTCCCTTTCTCCCTCGCTTCCTCCATCCTTCCCTTCCTCCCACCCTCTTTCTTCCTTCTGTCTCTCCCTTCTTACTCTTTTTGTTCCTTTTTTATTCTTTCTTTCAACAGGGTCTTACTCTGTTATCTTTCTTTCAAAGTCACTAAGTTCTGAGTTCATTTTATTCTTCTAGTGTCTTGAAAGTTTACCCTTGTTTCTTTCAGTGACAGCCCCTGTTTTACAGCATGATTTGATGCATTTGGTATATGTGAAAGTAATTAACGTCTTTCTCACCTAAACAGTTGAAAGATCTTAGAATGCTCTAATATTTACATCCTGGATTACATGGATTCATGGACTGTATCTTAGCTCTGTTAAAAAGTTTCAGAAATCCCATACAGTAGACATTTTAATGACTGCTTTTACCCCCCAGTGTTTACTTCTGTACACTCACATCCCTTTACTTACTCCCTCCTTGTATCTTAGAACATTCTTCTGACGTCATTTTCCTTTTTCCGAAGTCTGTCCTTCAAATTCTTTCAGTTCAGATCTGTTTGTTTAAAAATGTCTGAGATTTTCTTTGACAGTATTTTTACTTTACCTCTTTTGTTGAAAGTCTTTTTGTTGGGTTTACAATTCTGTTTATTATTTTCTCTTTATACTTGGTAGATATAGAGAGCCTAGCTTTTGGTGTAATTACTCTTTTATAGGTAATATATCCTTTCTCTCTGGCTGTTTTACAAAATTCATCTTTAATTTTCTAAAGTTTGATTGTGATGTGTGTAGATTTGTATTTATTTTTTATCTTTCTTGAGATTTATTTGTGCCTCCTGAATCTGAGGGTTTATATTTACTCATTTCTGGAAAATATTTTTGAAATATTTTTTTCCTTCTTTCTTTCTGTTCTTTCTTTGTGGACCGTATTTGGAAGAATGTTGAACTTTTCATCTTCCTCTCCTTGTACTTTAACCTCTCTTTCATCTGTTTTTCTTTCTTGCTGTAGTTTCTTTCTTCTTTTTTTTTTTGAGACGGAGTCTCGCTCTGCTGCCCGGGCTGGAGTGCAGTGGCCGGATCTCAGCTCACTGCAAGCTCCGCCTCCCGGGTTTATGCCATTCTCCTGCCTCAGCCTCCCGAGTAGCTGGGACTACAGGCGCCTGCCACCTCGCCCGGCTAGTTTTTTTGTATTTTTTAGTAGAGACGGGGTTTCACCATGTTAGCCAGGATGGTCTCGATCTCCTGACCTCGTGATCCACCCATTTCGGCCTCCCAAAGTGCTGGGATTACAGGCTTGAGCCACCGCGCCCGGCCTCTTGCTGTAGTTTCTTAAGGTCTATTTTTCTGTTTAGTATTTCTCCTTTTCCATGTGTCTAATTATCCTTGAGTTTTACATTTTAATTATTGTTTTCCTTTTTTGTAAATTCTGCTGTTATTTTTGAATTGGCTGGTCATTCATAATAGTAATCCTAGCTTCTTGATTATATTTTTACTTTGTTTTAAAATTATCTTCACCCACTAAACGTATCAGTTTTCTATTCTGCAGTTGATACTTCTAGTATCTGAAAAATTTTTGGTTCTAGCCCTGTTATTGGTTCTTTGTGCTGGCTGTTACTCACCTGGTCTTCTTTTTCTCATGAGTCAGATTATGATTTTTGTTATGAACTCTCATTTGCTAGTATGTATTTGGGGGAATTATTTGAAGACCAGGTTGAGGATCCTTTCCTTTAATGTCCAGGAAGCTGGGGGAGCTTCTTTCCCACTCTGTTTTATGTTAAAATTACTGGCCTGGGGATTTTGAGGCCTGCCAAAAAGTGAATTCCTGCTAAGCTTGAAAGTTTTGTCTCTTCTGGTTTCTGCAGGGCCTGTGAACTGAATGCCCGTGTCTCTCGGAGGCTTTTCCCTCTGTCCCTCTGCGTGAAGTCACTGTAACTGAAGCTCTAGTCTTTTGGAATCGTAGCATCTTTTGCACTTTCCTCTGAGATTTTGTGCTCTTACTTTGTTCCTGATCAGAGATGTTTTCCTTTCATTTCTTGCAAACTCATTCTTTATTTCAAAGGCTTTACAAAAAATATTGGTCTAGCCTTTTTATTGCTCTGCAGTGTAAAGTGTTTGGGTTCTCTGTATTTTGCAGTATTTGCAGAAACCGAAGTCCTGTAGTTTCTGGCTTTCACTAGACTCTGCATTGCCAGCCATGGTTCAATCCTGAAACAGCTTGTAAAGTCCTGTCCTATTCAGTAAACTGCTCTGTTGGTTGTGAGGGATGGTTGGGTTGTAGTACTCTTCGTTCCTTATACTGTGATTATGCAGTCCTGTGGCCTGACCTGGCTACCTGGATGTCATGTGTGATGTTCGTTGAATGAAAATATGTCATTAGGTTTTAGATGGCTGAATTGAACTTTGAGAGTACAGTACTCTTACAAATTGAGAGTAACCTGTATATTAATGCAGGATTGGTCATAAAAGAGATGAATCAATAAATATGGTTTGTGAGGTTTCCCCTGGGACCTTCTCTGCATTCGAGACTCTTGATTATGTGAGCGTATGAAAGGCGATATTATGTGATATCATTGCTGAAGTTTCCCATTTTCCTGTAGCCTCACATAGACAGATATTACTTCACATACGTTATATTACAGTGCTCATTATCCAGATTGTAGAATTGGACATCTAAAATGTGAGGGAATAACTAAATATGTTAAGTTCCTCTTAACTAGGAGATATGTTTAGGGTGAAATGTAGTGTGGATGGAGCATTCCAACACCTTTTTCTTTTACATTTCAGGCTGATGCTGATGTCCCTGTACAATGTAAGCATCAATTTGAAAGGCCTGAAATACATCAGCGAGAGTCCAGGATTCATCCCGTTGCTGTGGTGGCTTTTGAGTGGTAAGCAGGGTGGTTATCTCTACAGCTGCTTGTATGGTTTATGCAGTAGTCTTCCCTTATCCACGGGGGATACATTCCAAGCTTCCTAGCAAGCTTCCTAGCAGATGCCTGAAACCAGAGATAGCACCAAACCCTCTATATATACTGTATTTTTAAACATTCATACATCTGTATGATAAAGTTTAGTTTATAATTAGGCATAGAGATTATCAACAACAATAAAATAGAACAATTATAATAATAAGCCAGCACCGCTACTCCTGTGCTTTAGGGCCATTATTAAGTAAAATGAGGGTTACTTGAACACCGGTGCTGTGGTACTACAGCAGTTGACCTGATAACCTAGATAGCTACTGAGTGACTAAAGGGCGCATAGCATATGCTGGACAAAGGGATGATTCATGTCCCTGATGGGATGGAGTGGGATGGCAGCATGAGATTTCATCATGCTATGCAGAATGGTTTGCAATTTAAAACTTAAGAATTGTTTATTTCTGGATTTTTCCATTTGATATTTCCAGACCTTGGTTGACTGTGGCTAACTGAAACTGTGGAAAGTGAAACTACAGATAAGAGGGGCCTACTGTATACCTGTTCTTCTGTAGCTGAAGGAAATTTTAAAGTATTAGAAAGTAGGATTGATTATAAGATGTTATTTCTTTTTAAAAAAGTCAAATTTTAGAAAATTCCTTGGTATGTTAGGTTTACTCTAGTTCTGTTTCTGAAGTATTGCTTTCAATTTGGATATGATTTACTGGTGTCCCTACAACACAAAGAAAAATTGTCTTATAAAACAGCTGATAAACAGCATTAGCCTATCCCATTCTCTATTAACAGCATAGTACTATATGTGGGTATGTGGCTCTATCAGATAAAATAGAAGACCCGTTGTTAAATAATTTGGGTAAAAAGAAATTGGAAAGACACTGCAGCTCTGAAGGGAAGTACACATATAGAGTGTGTATGTGTTTTAAAATTTCTTTAAAAAGCTATCTTTACTGCAGCCTTTCCTCTTCACCCTTAACTACCAATCCAACCTAAAGTTCTGTCCCAATTTCATCATAATTTTTAACACTGTATGTTGTTTAATGAGTATACATTTAACCCATGTATAAAAATAAATTAACTTTCCTTATTTTTTCATAATTCAAATTAACCTTAATTTTTAGTGTCAGTTCCATTTGGTGGTGATTGCTTTTTTAAAATAATAGCTTTATTGATATATAATCAACATGTAATAAGTTGCATATATTTAAAGTGAACAATTGATAAGTGTTGATAAAAATGTCCACCTGTAAAATTATTATCACAATCAAGGGAGTACACAAACCCATGACCTCCAAAGGCACCTTGTGCCCCTTCGTGGTCCCTCCTCCCTGCTCCTCTCCCTGCCTTCCGGAGAGAGACTTGCCTCCTTTCTGCGCTGTAGTTAGTTTTCATTTTCTTTGATTTTATATAAGTGGAATCATAGTTTGTATTCTTTTTTGCCGAGCTTCTTTCACTCAGCGTAATTATTTTGAGATCCATTCATGTTGATTTTGAGATCCATCCGTGTGTCTATTAATAGTTCATTACTTTTTATGGCTAAATAATATTCCATGTTGTGGATACACCACAATTGGTGTATTCATTCAGCTAGTGATGGACATTTGGGTTGTCTCCAGCTTTTGACTACTGTTCATAAAGCTGCTGGGAGCATTGTTGTACACGTCTTTGCATGGGCATTTGCTTTTGTTTCTCTTGGGTAAATTCCTAGAAGTGGGATCTCTGGGACATGTGGTAGGTGCATGTTAGTTTTTATGAAACTGCCACCCTTTTTTCCAAAGTGCTTGTACCATCTTACATTCCCAGCAGCAGTGTTAGTGTATGGCCATTCTCTTAAATTTTAGACATTCCAGTAGGGATACTGTGGTACTTCACTCTGGTTTTAATTTGTATTTTTGTTATAACTAATGATGTTGAGTACCTTTTCATGTTTTGCCATTCATGTAACTTCTTTGATGATAGCTGTTCATATATTTTACTTATTTTTTAAAAATTGCATAGATTCTTACTGAATATTGAGAGTTCTTTGTGTTTTCGGTTTGTGTCCTTTGACAAATGTGTTGGAAAAATAATTTTTCCCAGCTTGTGGCTTGTCTTTCATTCTCTTAAGAGCATCTTCTGAAGAGCAGAAGACCTATCTTAATTGTAATAAAGTTTATAATTCTTTTTCTTCGAAGAATCATGCTTTTGTTGTAGAAATTTTTTCCTAGATCAGTGTCACAAAGATTTTCTAATGTGTTTTATCCTGGTAGTTTTATAGTTTTGCATTTCACGTTTAGTTATATGATTCGTTTTTAATTGGTATCTGTTTGTGTGAGAGGTTTTTTTTTGTTGTTTTTATTTTTATTTTTTGGTTTGTTTTTGCATAAAGTTTTCTATCTAGTTGATCCAGTACCATTTGTTTTGAAGACTTTATTCTCCAGGGAATTGCCTTTGCACCTTGTTGACAATCAGTTGACAATACATGTGAAGGTCATTTTGGATTCTGTTCTGTTCCAGTCATCTATTTTTGGATCATTATGCCAATACCATGCTTTATAATAAATCTTGATAGCTTTATAATAAATCTTAAAGTCAGGTAGTATAAATCCTCCAACTTTGTTGTTCTTTTTCAAGGTTGTTTTGGCTATTTTTAAACCTTTGGCCTTTCCATATGAATTTAAAAATCCGCTCGTCACTGGCTACCGAAAAGAATCCTGTTGGAATTTTTATTGGGATTGTGTTGAGTCAACAGTTCATTTTGAGGGAGAATGGACACTTTAGCAATATTGAGACTTACAATCCATGAACACAAGTGTATATCTTCATTTATTTAGATATTGTTGAGACACAAGGGTCTGTCCTGTTTCTTCATGTGTTAAGAGCAGAGGAACTGACCTTTGTTTCTGGCTAGCTTTTCAAGGATGTGTGTATAGCAGACATCCTTAGAGGACAGAGATGCAGCTTCCTTCCAGAGCAAAAAGGGTACGTTTGTTTATATCTATGTAGTAAAGATAATGTTTCCCTCTAGGGCAGAGTTCAGCCAGAGCTTGGGGTTCCTCTCCTGTGACACAGCCACACAGCATGTGTGTGGCTTGTGGGATTGGGTCTTAGACTGGCATAAATGCTGCTGCTCTGGCTAGGCTGCTGCTGTAACAAGTTCTTAGTCTCAGACTCAAGAGTTTGTGTCTTCTGCCAGCGTCTGTAAGACTCTAGCATGCTAGCTTGTTAGCTTGCAAGTAGGGTAAAGCCCTAGACCTTCCATAGTTTGAGGGCAGGTCCAGGGGACTATGCTTGTACTCCGTTGATAACACTTACCCACCAGACAGCTTTTTTCCTCTCAAGAATCATAGAATCAGAGGTGATTCCTAGACATGACCTATAAGGTAACTATCCGGGCTGGCTGTTATGGGCCATGAGCAAGCAGACATTGCCAGTTTATGGGAGAGGATGCTGGTGGTGCCAGGGAGAGAATAATTAAATAAGAGTGCCTAGTATTTCTTGAGTACCAGTCATGGTTTTAAGTGCATTATGTTTGTTACATTTATGTCTCTCAGTACCTTGTAAGGTAAGTATTATTTCTGTATCATAGATGAAGAAACTGAGGCACATAGAGGTGAGTAAGGCGCCAGGGTTATATAGCTATGGGGTGGGGGTGGTGGAGCTGGGATCTGAGACCCCGACTGCCTGGCTCCAGACCCTGTTTCCCAACCATTCTATAGGACTGCTACTCAGCAGGACACGTCTCCAGGGTGGAAGCCTTAGTGCTGGATGACTTCTTATTTTACTTTATTTTTTTTGAGATGGAGTTTCGCTCTTGTTGCCCAGGCTGGAGTGCAGTGACGCAATCTCGGCTCACTGCAACTTCTGCCTCCTGGGGTCAAGCGATTCTCCTGCCTCAGCCTCCCAAGTAGCTGGAATTACAGGTGCCTGCCACTACACCTGACTAATTTTTGTAATTTTAGTAGAGACTGGGTTTCACCATGTTGGCCAGGCTGGTCTCAAACTCCTGACCTTAGGTGATCCACCCGCCTCGGCGTCTCAGAGTGCTGGGATTACAGGTGTGAGCCACTGTGCCGGGCCAGTGCTGGGTGACTTCTCATGTTTAGTTGACATTAGGTCTGGCTTTGCTTGACTTCTGAGTCAGTTGCCCTGAAACAATATGCCCGTCTCTACTTAGGCTAATTTGCAGCCAGTAATCCTATTTTCTCATAGAAAGAGGAGTTGAGGCTAAATATTCTCGATGGCCCTTTTAGCTCTGGTCCTCTGGAAGTTTCTGGGGCTGAGTGAAAATTGTGATGAGTTTAATCTTAATTTATGCAGCTCTGTCTGTGGCAAGCAACCCAAGTTCCTGCCACTCATCAGAGATTGTGTCAGGGGGGCTTTTCCTGTTTAAGCTTTGGGTTATGGATAATATGAGGTGTTTGTTAAGTTGTGTTAATGCAATTTTTTTGCTTCTGGGACATCATCCCAGGCTTTCTTTTCCTTTCTTTCTTTTTTTTTTTTTTTTTTTGAGACAGAATTTCACTCTTGTTGCCCAGGCTGGAGTGCAATGGTGTGATCTCTGCTCACCACAACCTCCACCCCCCGGGGTCAAGCAATTCTCCTGCCTCAGCCTCCTGAGTAGCTGGGATTACAGGCACGCACCACCACGCCAGCTAACTTTGTAGTTTTAGTAGAGAAGCGGTTTCTCCATGTTGGTCATGTTGGTCTTGAACTCCCGGCCTCAGGTGATCTGCCCGCCTCAGCCTCCCAAAGTGCTGGGATTATAGGCGTGAGCCACCGTGCCCAGCCATCCCAGGCTTTCTTATCCGTGAAGATAATTACTGGTTCTTTCAACACAGTGAGCACAGCCCAACCCTCATAAATTCATTTCTAGGTCATCTTACTTGAGAATCATTTGTTCTAAAGTCAAACAAAACAAGATGTGTTTAAGCCTAGGATGTTTGACTCCTGAGTTATGTATGGGATTACTT